AACCCCTGTCATCATTTTAAGTGGGAGAACTTGCACAATCGGTGGCTGACTAAATACTTTTTTGCCCCGCTGTATACAGTACACACACACACACTCATATGTGTGTGTGTGTGCGTGCGTGCGTGCGTGCGTGCGTGTGTGTGTGTGTGTGTGTGTGTGTGTGTGTGTGTGTGTGTGTGTGTGTGTGTGTGTGTGTGTGTGTGCGTGTGTGTGTGTGTGTGTGTGTGATTTATTTTGGATTTATGTTGTGAGATTTATTATTGATTTATATCCTGTTGTTAATTGTGATGTTATTGGCATGTTGGAAATAAATGATGATGATGATGATGATGATGATGATGATATATATATATATATATTTATATATATGTATATATTCAATTCAAATTCAATTTGAATTGAATTGAATATATATATATATATATATATATATATATATATATATATATATATATATATATATATATATATATATATATATATAGTACACACACACACACACACATTTATACAAAGATCCTTAATAATTGATTAAATAGGTTTGGACAGCCTTATGATTTTCCTGTAAAAATTGTTGGTCATTACGATACAAATTCTAGTTAAATACGTCATAGAGAGACACACACACACAGATATTTGAGAAGTGAAACAAAGTTTATAGGATTTACAGAAAATGTGCAATTATTGTTTAAACTAAATTAGGCAGGTGCATAAATTTGGGCACCACAAAAATGAAATTAGTAACTTCCTATAGCTACTAAGGAGAGTCAAGATTCTGGCTGAAGGTATTTTGGACCACTCTTCTCTAGTTCATTCAGGTCTGATGGCTTCTGAGCATGGACAGCTATCTTTAACTCACACCACAGATTTTCAATAATATTCAGGTCTGGGGACTGAGATAGCCATTCCAGAACCTTCTACTTGTTCCTCTGCATGAATGCCTTAGTAGATCATGAGCAGTGTTTAGGGTCGTTGTTATGTTGAAAGATCCAGCCCCGGTGCAGTTCAGCTCTGTCACTGATTCCTGGACATTGGTCTCCAGGATCTGCTGATATTGTGTGGAATCCATGCGTCCCTCAACTTTAACAAGATTCCCAGTCCCTGCACTGGCCACACAGCCCACAGCATGATGGCACCACCACCGTGTTTTACTTGCATTGCAGATTTGCAACATTAAAACCTACCTACCTGGTTACTCCACATACGTATTTCATGAGCATGTTTTAGCTCAGAAGTACCCTTGAAGGACCCTTGTTCGTCCTTTCATCAAAGCTTATTTTGAGCCTGAGAGGGTTAAAGGAGTCCTCAGCGGTACCTACAGATACATCATATTTCATCTTTTGGGTCATAAAAATCATTTGTACTGGAAAAATAATTAAAAAGTGCTTGCTTTAGGTACAAAAGCTGCTTTTGTTGAATCAAGGGAAATCTTTTACTCATTTAGTGCGCTCCTAAATGAAGCAGAGCTCACACTGATGAAAGCTGATCCCACTTGTTTCAGGGATGCCGCTTCGGATGGAAAACTGCTTCCACATGAGCTGTTACTCTTCTGTGAATATGCCATCATTTTCCTTGAAAACACAATGACAGCTTTTGTTTTCGCCTCCTGCTGATGCTGCTGATCAGATTGGGTCAGCCTGACTGTTGCAGGAGAGAACTTGATGACAAGGAGCCGAGTGCATCTGATGCCAGAACTCCACAGCAGAGATTTATAAACTCCAGGAGAGAAGTGACTCTAATGCAGAGTTTACAGCAAAATGTTTTAGTATTTATGTGCTTCCAGGACTTATTTCCCAATATTGCTTCTAGGAATGAGCTTGTGTTGCACGTGTCAGATCTGCCGAGTACATGGTGGAAAATAAACCTTGTTTTATGAGCTTCATCCTGAATTTCTCACATAAACATCTGGGGTTCAGCATTGAGTTTACTCCACAAAAAGTTTACAGATAGATACTGTATGTTACCAGCCAGACCATAGTTCAGTACAAAACAAGGTTTTTAAGTTAGAGTTTGATTAGGACATGAATTTCTGCACAGCGGTGTGGTGGTTTAGCAATGTGGCTTAACGGCAAGAAGTTTGATTCTCTGATGAAGTCATTGTAGTGTTGAGTTGTTTTCCTTGTTCCTTTGTGAAGTTTCCTTTCATCGTCCTTACATACTTAATTAACATTCATGGACTCATGAGTCATTTTGACTCATGTCAGGGAAGGCTGTTGTTGGTTTAGCATCCAGAAAACAGCAGAGGACGTCTCAACTAGCAGAAGCTAATCGTTAGCATTAGAAACTTCACCACACAGCAGAACTCTTCCAGGCTTGTGTTATTTGTGGAGGTAAAACATCCTTGTTGCTGAGCAAACAGAGTCAGTGGTCGAGTCACATTGCTGTAAGCCAATCAGAAGCGAGATGTCCACATATCAGGAAATATGACTCCAAATCCAGGCGTGTTCTGCCACTCTCTCCTCCAGCTGACTCCTCAGAGCTTATTCAGGTGCTTCTGGGCTGTTATTCCCCCAGGTACGACTTACAAGGCAACCGTTCTTACTAGAAACCACTGCAGACGTATTACAACCAAATGAGTGTTTGACACTTTTAGACATATTTGAAAATAGAGTACATAGGGTACTTTAGAGCTTTTACTCAAAGTTCAACTTTTATTTAAGTAAATGATTTACCCTTCTATCTGTATCTTTTTAGGAATCCTAAAGTCCTGATTTCTAAAACATCAGTAGGTCACTAAGCTGGAGAAATGCATCACCAGATGGCTTTTATTTTTATGTTGTTTTGTTTGTATCCATATCTAAGATGTGAGAAATGTTTGTCCCCTACCAAAGAAAGTCATTTTTATTTTATTTTTGTCTTCCAGCTTTGAGTCAGATCAGGTTCTAAACTAAACCAGTCCAACACAAACATTACTGTTTGTCCGTTTCCAGTTCATTAACTCCATCCAGATCCCAAACATTGCTCAATACCGTTCCAGATTTTGAACAGATTTCTGGGAGTCTCTTTAACAGGAACAAATCCACACACTCAAGGAATTACAACATAAAATGTTTTGTCTCAGCCATACGGTGGATCGGTCCAGTGTTACGTAATGTGTTTTTAACAACAAGCAGCGATGGTCATGACTTCATTTTCATGACGGTTACACGCCCCTGGAGGAGGTTCACAACCATGAAACATCCACAACCACCTACTTAAGGCGTGGAGCTGTAGACAATCGATGTCTCTGCTCGTTCTGTGCTGCACCGAGGGACACATTTAATCCAAGAACACTCGTCGTGATTCTGTGGTCCGTCTATTCCTGAGCTGAAGGGTTAAAGCAGATGTTGATCTTACAAATGTTGGACTTAGTGGATGAGTTTTAGGTCAGACTTTAGGTCAATTTGATTATTTCACAGATTGAAGGACGGACGGATGGACAGCAAGCAGGATAGATAGATAGATAGATAGATAGATAGATAGATAGATAGATAGATAGATAGATAGATAGATAGATAGATAGATAGATAGATAGATAGATAGATAGATAGATAGATAGATAGATAGATAGATAGATAGATAGATAGATAGATAGATAGATAGATAGATAGATAGATAGATAGATAGATAGATAGATAGATGATAGATAGATAGATAGATAGATAGATAGATAGATAGATAGATAGATAGATAGATAGATAGATAGATAGATAGATAGATAGATAGATAGATAGATAGATAGATAGATAGATAGATAGATAGATAGATTACCTTAACATTCTATGATGTGTCATGTTTCTGTTTGTAAGGGACAGCTCATCCCCACCAGTGTGTGAATGTGTGAATGACTGATTGTGTTGTAAAGCGCCTTGGGGGGTTACAGAACCCTAAAAAGGCGCTATACAAATGCAGGTCATTCACTATTTTTAATTCTCTTATAAACTACGGGGCAGACAAAAATACATCCTTCAAATCTATGAAGGACACACACATAGGCTCACGACCAGGGGAGGCTGATGTTGACTTTTGCAGCCGGGGAGAGCAGAGCACGTCTCGGCAAGTAGAAGCTAACCGTTAGCATTAGCAACTCCGCAACATGGCAGACCACATTGAGGCTTGTGTTATTTGTGTAGATGAAAGTTGCAAAGCAAACAGACATTGGAAGAGTCGGTCTTAGCCAATCAGAGGCAAGTCACCCACATCATGAATATTAATGAGTAAGACACCAAATCCTGCTGTTAATTGTCCCCCAGCTAAGCTTTACTTCCTGAAACAGGAGCAGCAGAGCTTTTTTTCCAACAGAGAACGCAGATTTATTACAATAACAAGTGGCCCAAATCAGATTAAGAGTGTGCTTTCTTCTGGTCTGCCCAAGGTTTTATTCACTTTTCTTTATTTTTGTAACTTATTGTTTTACCTGTTGAACTGATATAAAAGCTACAACATTTGCAAATGCTGATTTCAACTATTTGCCATATACTAATTTCTTATTCTCTCAAAATCTTTTTTCTTTTAAAAGTAACTTTTCATACTTTTTTATAAAAATGTAATTAAAAATTTGGAATTTATGATAAAAATCTTGTCAGAACACAAACTGATCACTTTTTCACTGTTGAAAATGCACTGAACATCCTCAAGGAAAACTTGAAACATTCACGAGTCTGTTTTCATGGTAGAACCCCAGATGTGACCAGAGGCTTTAACCAGAAAGGGTTTTTTAATGAATTGGTGATTGCTCTATTATAATTTAGCTTTTTCTTGCGTTATTTACCTGCTTTGTTCAGTGTTGCAGGAGCCTTTCAGCTGTTGAACAGCAGGCTGTTCATCACAGGTCCAGTGTGCAAACTTTTTTAATTCTGGACAAAATAAGCTGAAAAAACTCGACGCAAACTCAACAGAAAGGCCCTGCCCCGCAGAGAGTCTGTGCAGCAATAATTCTGACCACCACATCTCAGTGCTGCCCCTTCTACCTAAAAACTCTAGTTTAATGATTAGTTCAAATCATTTTGAGCAGAAATGTGTTGATGTGGGGTGTTACTCTTTATTAAATCTTTATTTTTGGCCTCTTTTTCTACACAGTGCACTCAGCAGCTGGCATGGAATTCAGTCGGATTGATGCTTCCAAAGCCTTTTCCATGAACAACACAAATGACTTCACTTTTTATAGAAATACAGACACATATGCAAGCCTGCCAACATATATTACAGCTTTATATACAAATGTATAAATGTACAATCAATAAATACAGTACTGAGTACTCTTGAGATGAATCTTGGACATTATTGTAGACAGATTTCAAAGGCTTGCACGTCTTTTTTAAGAGCTGAGTTTAATTGCTGAGGTAAATTGTCTCAGGTGAGACAGGAGAAAAGAGTTTGTTTTTATGACAAAATAGAAGACATAATTAGATAATGCAGATCCCTATTGGAGTGCAATCAAAGGTTTTCACATCTAAATGGTCTTTTAAAGTGACCAGTGACACAAAACAAACACCATTAAAGAACAAACAAGGCTTCAAAAGATAAGGTGTTTTCACATAACTCATATTCAAAGAAAACATTATTGATAGTGATTACAGTATTTACAAAAAAGGACAGCGAGGTTGTGATTCTCCGTTCAGTAGATAGCAAATGCTTCTTTGGTCCCTGTCGATTGTTGGCAATCAGTGGTTATAAAAAGGCAAGCGGTGGGTGCAAAGTGATCAAACGGACATGCAATGATGTGCAGTAATTATGCCTATCACTAGGAATCATCAATACATTACCAATAATCCAAGTTCACATTGGCACAGGAAATCCATCGTTTTGGGTTTCAAAATGTAACAAAAGCCCGTAAAAACAGTACAAGTATGATACAAAAGCATAAACAGCGATTACAATGCAGCAAAAGCTACTGTAACGTGATGACGGAGCCATTTCTCCCCTCTAAACAGCTGTTCTGTTTGACACAGTGCCAGAGTGCATGAAACAGCCCAAGGTCATGCATTCACTCCTAATGTTTACGTTCCAGCAGTGAAGACAGAAGAACGAAGAATGAACTCTTTTCTTTTAATTAATCAAAGAACTCTATTTTAATAAAGCTAATCAAAACTATTGTTAGTCAATAATAACCATGTGACCGATCTGTGAAATCACAATGTTATGAATAATGTTTATTAAGGAAATGACGTATTGTAGCCACTAGACAGCTGATTCACAAGATAAATAATCATGACACATTCCGGTCGCAAAATCCAATCAGAACCTTCACATCTGAAGCGTGGCAGAGTCTCTGTGGTGTTTGTTTAATCTGTCAGCTGTGATTCGTCCAGAATCGTAAACATCAAAGATTAATAAGTCAGAACAACGCCATTTTGAGTTCAGTCTTCAGCCAGCTCTCAAAATCATCTGATGTTCCTCATTGCTAAGTGGAGTACGGACCGGCCATCTGTACTTTTTACTTTTAAGCTGAGAACTGCCAAGCTGGGAAAATCCTGTCGTTGTTATCAACAAACAACGGTTCCTTCAGAATAAAAGCTGAACTCCCTGACCTAAAGGGGGGGTCCCTTCTGACACTGTGAAACACCTGCCGTTTTTACCTGGAGCCTACCCAAAGACTGGTTTGTCGTGCTGAGGACACTGCTTCGTTCGGCTCCAGTATCGTTGGGAGGTCGAGGACCTGGCAGCCTGATCTGTAGGGGAGACTCCCTGACGGGTAATGTAGAACGGCACCGATAGCGTCTCATGCCTTTTCTGACCAAGGTTCAAACGTCGATCAGTTAGGAGCAAAACAACATCTCCCACTCAGACTCGCTTCTCCAGAACGGGGGGTTCTGAGCTGACATTGCACCAACACACACTCCACCTCATTCAATTCCATTCGCATCCATCACTAGAGAGTTAGTCCTGTTAATTGTTTAAAATAATTTAGATAATAAATTTTGCTTAAACGTTCCGAGGTCTCTCTCTATTCTCTTGTCTCTCGTTTCATGCAAAGTGTATTTTGAATTTCCCTGTAATAAAAAGAACACTCTTCTGATTTTAAAAGCCAAGGTCCAGAGATGGGGTCCATGCCAGGTATGGACCATTAATATCTCTGGTCATTAATTAAATTGTAATACCCTTCATTTCCATTACACTACTGATAGCATAAAGTTGTTTAAAAAAGGAGAAAAGCACGTCATGAAGAAGTAATCAGTAACATTTTCAGCAGCAGAGTTTGCAGAGAGAGGTGGGAGGTCATGAGCTGACTGGTGTAGAGCGCTGGGGACGAGGTTATGTTGGTTTCACTGGGGTGGGGGAGGGGTGAATCTGGGTCCAAGGATATGTAAAGGCTTTCCCATTGTTTCTGTGGGCTGTCCATCCTTGGCTGGGTTAGTAGAGATGGATGATGCGCATGATGGGAAATCTTCAAGTTTGCTTCAAGCGGTGTTTTGTTCAAAAAGACTCCCCTGCATTTTGAGCCTGTGCATCCTAGAGGGAGCAAAAACAAACAGAAAACAAGAGATGTGATGCTTCTGATGACAGCCGTTTAACATTGTGTTGTTCAAAAACAAACAAGTTAGATTTTCACTTTGTTTAAATTTAGGTTACCGTCTTTCTTTACGGCTTAGATTGTCCTCTTTTGACTTGACGAAGACCGCTTGTTCCCCTCCTCGCACGAGGTAAGCAAACTCTCCATCTTTTGCGTTGAAGATGACCCTGAAATCACACAGAAGGAATCCTGTGTGAGTTTGGGCTGAAAACACTTCCCTTGGTCAGCTCTGTGCATCCAGCAGGTTTAACCTTACTTGGACTGAGTCTCTCCACATTTGATGCGAAGCTTTCGGAGGTGAAACTGGCTGCTGCCCCACCAGTCAGACCAGCTGAGGATGGCATCCTTCTCCCACTGCAGCTTGACGATCATCAGGTCGCCGATGTCCACGTCGGTGGTGATGAGGAAGGACAAGGTGGAGTTATCATTCAGCATTGGTCTGCAGGGTCAAAGACAAATAAGATTATCTTCATTTGGAATCAGAATTTTTAAATTTTCTGCATTTCGAATGTTTGAAGAGCAACCAGCAGTTTCTTACAGGACAAAGGCGATGTTCTCCTTCTCTCCGTGGGTTCCATAGAGAGAGATCTTCATCGGCTGCTCAGTGAAGCTCATCTTGTCTTTGCTGAAGAAGTGTGCTTTTACTTGGTAGTGAAAGACTGTAAAACGGGGAAAAAACAGATGGTTTTAACCTCAGAAGTCCCCCTAGAATCTCTCTAAACCACTAAATCAAACAAATCCCTTAGCTAACCTGAAGATTTTTCCGTTAAGGTGCAGCAATTATTCACAGATTTTGTTTCCATCCTACATTATTAAATCAGCTGTTGCATCTTTTATGGATAAAAGTCACTCGTTATGTTGTGTTTCCTCATCTACCAAAAAACCCACAACCTCCTCCTTCTGAACCCGCGCCACTCGCTGCATTCCCAAACTGTATTCGGTCTGCCAGTATTCCCACTAAATTCACTCGGGATAAAGTCGGCTCCAAGCAGTCACACTCACACTAAGCATATGCACCCATAGCAGCTAAAATAAAGAAGGATTACTTTTAATTAAGGCATGTGAATGATTTAACTCACAGCAATTCCTTCTAAATCCAGACCGACTTTTATACTTTCCTAAATGCTAACCTTTCTCAGTGGCCTAGTGGTAGAGTGTCCGCACTGAGACTGGGAGATCAGGGGTTCGATTCCTGGTCGGGTCATACCAAAGACTGAAAAAATGGGACCCAATGCCTCCCTGCTTGACACTCAGCATTATGGGGTTGGATTGGAGGGTTAAACCACCAAATAGTTCCCGAGCGCGGCTGTGTCTGCAGCTCACCGCTCCCCCAGGGGATGGGTCAAATGCGGAGAACAAATTTCGCGCACACACCTGTGTGTGTGACAACTAATGGGACTTTAACTTTAACTTTAAATGTCAAGTGTGTTTTCTCTCAGCCTGCATTCTCCTTTCCGATCCTCCGTGGCATTTACCTTTGTACGGCATCATATCACGGGTTTTGAGGAACATCTTCGTGCTGCGGGCTGTGCGGACTTTGTTGATGTTGTAGCCGAGCATGTTGCAGCGGTTCTTCCGGCAGCTGAGGCACATTCCCTTGTTGAAGGTGTCTTTGGAGTTGCAGCGGTAGGCCATGCTCTTCTGCTGGGTGTTCACCAGAGAGTCGATGAACAGATGGATGGAGCGCTCGTGGGAACATTTCACCAGCTGGTCCATATCTGCAGAGCAGAGGAGCTGCTGAGCCTTCCTTCAGATAACATTGTGCAAAGCTGAAAAATGACTTCCAGATGACCACACACACAGGGGGAATTCTTGGATCATTAGAAACATTAAGGAAATTTTGAACTCCCTGTAGTTTAAAAATGCATTTTACCATGGGTGTGAAGTAGTGTGTGTGCCACAAAAGGGACAAAATTACATTTATTCATCTATATTTTACTATTCCCTTTGAAAAAGTTTTTTTTTTTTTTTTTTTTTTTGCAGGATTTGAGAGCAGATTTTGTGTCACATACTTTGCAGGCCCTTGATTCCCTCCAATGCGATCCCCAGCAAGGTGTTCTGGATGTCGCACCCCGGCTGGAAGGTGCCTCCATTGGGGTAGATGTCGATGTGACCCACGGGTCTCTGGATGCCGATGCTGCGGTCAGGAGAACCCCTGGTGTTGGTGTGCAGGACGTCCACGAACTGAGCATCGCCTCGGGACAAGGTGCTCTGTTCGTCTGCGTGTTCGAAGGTGGGACCAGCCGGATCCAAACCTGGTGGACAAGTTTAACAAAAACATGTGTTTGTCTTCTCTGATGCAACACAGAATCACAATTGTTTGATCAAAGGCAAAGAGAAGACAAGTTGTCGTGTACTGATGTGCTCTGTTTGACCTCTTCCTGCATTTTGCAGCTTTTTACAACCACTGAAGCCATAAAAAACTGCATGAGGCAGCTCTTGACAGCTCAGATCAGTGTAAAGAAACCATTGTTCTAGGCAGGTCAAAGAAATTTCAGAGCTGGATAAAGGCCAGAGTGGTGAATAGGGGGTCGAGAGCTGGCACCGACTAGCTGCATGCACACTTACAATGCAGGCCTGGAATGTAGCAGCTGACAGATTATGTTTTATCTGAGAGCTGCTTTGTTTCCAGGGAAGAAAAGCACTCACGCTTTAAAGTCTGGCATGTTGTTGTTTACGTGCATTAGCTGTGGGACTAAATCTAATGTCAAAAACCAGTTGATTTGATGGGACTCAGCTAATTGGGCCTACCTGTGATCCTGCTGATCTTGTTGTCAGTGAGGCCTCCAGCGATCCCAGCCACATGAGCTCCCAGACTGTAACCCAGCAGATGGATCCTCTCCCAGGGCAGCTGCAGCTCATCCTGAAAGCCAAGAACAAAAAATCTATTCAACCTGTTTAACCCTAACACCCCCCAATTGGGGGGCCTCTGCAGTTTCATGTCCCAAACATCTACAACTGTCCACATTCTCCAAACACAACTAAAACCACAATCAAACAGCCCAGATGGGAAACAAGGCCATTTTAAATTGTAATAAGTTAAGATATAGTGATATTTGAACTTTCTTTTAGAAGAGCATCTGGCCTTCTCTGGTGTCTGCTGGGAAAAATTAAACCCTTGAACAAATTTAGTTGAGGACCCCTGGAATAACTAAAACAATTGACTAAATTTCCTAAATAGAAATTGACCTCACAACCTCCATCCTGTCAGCACTTTCACACAGGGCAGCTCTTCTAAAATAAAGTGTAAGTATTATTTTATCTTAATGTATCAAAAACCAAAAATTGCTTTGTTTGCAATCTAAACTGTTTTGATTGTAGCTGTAGCCGTGCTCGGGGAATGCAAACAATCACTGACACCTGGGACATGAAACTCCAAAGGCCCCCAGTTGGGAGGCGCCAGGGCCCAAAGAAAAAAGGCCTAGGGCCTAAAGGGTTAAAAAATGGTCCTATACATTTAGCAGGGAGATTTTTTGGGGCAAAACCAAGGGGGGCATTCAGAGATTTTTCATGCATTTCTCCAAAACTTTTCAACTTAGAAGCTGCAAAAACAAGAAGGAAGCTTGAAACTGTTCCAACTGACACTGAGCCTTTCAATGGGAGACTGTGAGCCACAAACATGAGTGTTAAATGTGTTTATAGCCATTTAAAATCTGAAACAGCAGGACTGATGTCTTTGCCAAACCGGGTCAATTCCACTCTGATCCAGCTGTTAGAGAGCACCCCTTCAAGATTTGAGAAAATTTACCTGCAACCAGGAAACGAACTTAGCGACGTCACGGCCCACTAGCTTGGTGTATGCTGCAGAGGTTGGGTAGTGCTGGTTGGCCCGGGTCAGCCAGTCAACCACGATCACGTTGGCGGTGGGTTCACGTTCGTACAGAGCAGAGACCAGTTTGGGCACCCAGCTCTCAAACATCCCTGTCACCTACAGAAACACACAAAATGCAGTGTTAAGGAAAACTGGTATACGTTTCTTTTTTCTGTGTGTTGAAATCTGCCAAATAAATTTGTATTTATCCACAATTTTATGTCTAAAACTCACAACAAAAAGTGTGGACCAATAATTTTCTGTACGGTTCTCGTTGTTTTAATAACATAATTAGATTTTTAAATGCAACATTTTTAAATTTCAGACTGAGGCAGAGCCGATCACACTGATTACCGTCCAAATCTGACCACAACCACCATGATGAGAGAAGCTTTTCCACAAACATCAATTTAAACAAATAAATATGAATTCAGTTCATGTCTAACCTCTGAACTGTTTACTGCAAGCTCACTAATTCTACTAATTCTCCTCTATGTTTCTTTGCCACACACAGAAAGTGTGTGTATGTTTTCCTGCACGGTCACACAGGAGGTCAGCTGCTGTGTGGCGTGATTTACTTTGGCCTCAGCTCTCCTTCTTTGTCCTGTTGTTGGACCAGAGCCAAGGCATCATCAGGTTCAAATTTCCCTGCGTGACTGACGGACTTTAAATCACATTACAGGAGAAGATGGATGGCTGCACTGTTTGCTCCATGTTGGCCTCACTTCAAAAATAACATGTCTTTTTACATTTTTCTTCCATTCTGCAGCCGTGATGTAATTTCACCACAACAGAGCCTGAGCCAAAGAGAGTGTGTTTAGTTTGCTGTACCGTCCAGCCATGTATCACGATGAAGGTCTGCGTTTCTGCATTGAATTCACATTCTTTGATGGTTTCTGGTCTGCCGGGCACCAAGTAACAGATATCATCTTCTGGCAGCTCCGCAGTGCGCAGGGAGAACTTGGACACGATGTCCGAGAAGTCTGTCAGCCATTCAGTGGTGGTCGGCAGAGGAGCAGAGGTGGCTGTGGTGTTCACTACACACACACACACACACACACACACACACACACACACACACACACACACACACACACACACACACACACACACACAAGGAAGGTAATTTAGTTTAACGATAACAAAGAATTGCTGCCAGATTAGATTGGAACAAAGAAAAAAAACGTTTTACACAATTATTACAATAAACTGTATTTTTTTATTTCTGTTTTGGGCATAAAAATGTATCTGATGCAGAAGAAAAGTTTATCTGAGAGCTCATCCAGACTCAAGTGTCATGAAGCAATGAAGGTATCGCCCCCTTTTGACTTTTCTAAGCTTCTACCATCATCAAACCTAGATTAGCCGGATAAAAGCAAAATACAAGCCCGAATTTAATCTAATCTCCATGGTTACCATCAGTTTATTCAATGAGTCAGACATAAAAAATTTAAATAAAAGCTGGTTTTGGTGTTTTTTGGAGCTAAATTTGATGTTTTTGAGCTTCAAATCCTTTAATTTGAATTCATAGAGATTTTTTTTAATATATTTTAGTTCTAATCTCCCCCTTCTTTTTTTGGTCCTTCCTCAGACAAAAGGCTCTTCTTCATGCTGTCATGGAGCTGAATGGCTTGAGCCGGGATGTGGAGCTGAACTCTGAAAACTTCTGGAGGGGTTACTCCCGGTCAACGTGGAACAGCATGCATTCATTAACCTGTTTCCTGAGGCTAATTTACCTCATCACATCTGGGTCACCGTTTAAATAAACACAATAAACATCCGCCGAGATCTTACCAAAAAGTGTTGCGTTGGTAGGTTCAGCATCTGAAGAAAAAGTTGCAAATATTTTTCCCAAAGTTATCCAAATAGTCAAAAAGCAAACACTTTCTTTTCCCATATTATTATTATTACTGAGGTTTGATTTGATGTTAAGTTTCCTGATTAGAAGCTTCTGTAGGTCTTGCTGCTGGTATTAATCCTCTTAAACCCAAAGCACCGGTGACAAAGTGGTGAGGAGTTGTGGTTTAAGGGTGAAGTTGCTTATGGTCTGTAGCAGTTGCTGCACCAAGTCATCTTTATGGGTGGCTTATTTGAATTTTCCAACGTGATTGGCTGAAGGTTTGTAGGCGGAGACTAAACTTTGTCCCAGCTCTAAAGAAAAAAAATTCATCCTGTGAGGAAAGCTGGCCCCTGGTTGCAGAAGGTTTCACTTACAGTACACGGTGCCATCAGCTAAAGAAGAGCTGCCTTTCATCTAAACCCAAGTTATAGTTTCGTTTTATCACATTTGGGATTTAGAAACACGCGGCACTAGAAGTCATTCTGTTACTAAATATCTACTAGACACTTTGGGGGTTAAATCTGTCGAAAGATGCATGTTTTACTAAATAAATTCAGTTTTTTTCTTGTCAACTTTAAGTCCTTCTGTAGAAAATAAAACCAGAGGAGAAGGATTTCTAACACTTTACATTAAGGGTGCCTTTATTAGCCTTATTTAGTGCATAATTAAGCATTAATAAACTATTAAATAAAGCATAAACTTCATGCTTAATATGATAAATGACCTGCACTTGAGTCAGGGGACTCCAAAAGCTCTTTACACAGCAGTGTATCATTCACCCATTCACACACACACATTCACACACTGATAGTTGCCACAGCTGCCTTGGGGCACTGACGGAAGCGAGGCTGCCAAGCTCAGGCACCACCGGTCCCTCCGACCACCACCAGCAGGTGAGGTGGGTTAAGGGTCTTGCCCAAGGACACAACAGCAGCATCCTCTGTCCGGAGCCGGGATTTAACCTGCAACCTTCCAATTTCTGGACAACCCGTTCAATCTCTTAAGCTGCTGCTGTCCTACACATATTATGTATTGTTATAGTTAACAATAACAGTAGCGTTATTGAAGAGACTGTTTGTTTATTAATGGTTAATAATGCATCTTAGTAAGGCTGATAAAAGGACCCTTATTTTAAAGTGTAAACAAAGTATTTGTAAACAGAAAGAAAGGCTTTTTTTACATTTTAGACTAATATCTATAAAGTTAAATCAACAATAGTTCTCAAGGTTGAAACACTTTTTTCTTCTGTTTGATTTTTGAATATTTTTGGCCAAAATGTTTGAGGTAACTCTGAGTGGATTTGAAGCTCACATTTGTTTCCTTATTTATCATAAAACTCTGCAACATGTGCAGGAAAACAGATGCCTTAGGAAACCTTCTTTCATGTTTAACACACGAGAGTTTTTCTATCGGTCTTTTGAGTCTGTTTACTTGCAAAATATCACAGAAAAAGAGGTCAAGTTTCTGTTTTTGAAAGAAATAAATACAATAAAGAAGCACACGAAGTTCAGATAGATTCCAAACAAGTGTGAGACTGGAGGTTTTCTCCTTTGTGCTGCTGTTGGGGGTTGTCTGTGTTCACCCTGAGGCCCACCGTCTGATAATCTGACTGCTTTCATGATTCCTTGCACATTCAAAGGCTGTGTGGGTGTGCTGAAAAGCCCCTTTTTCATTGGTGGACCTACGAGTGAAGCACATGTCAGAATTCCTACAAGGTGATGCCCTGCTGCTTTGTGAAAAGTGACGCTCCTGTCTCCCTTCAGGTGACGAGGAACAAAAACAAAAAGTGGAGGCCAGGTGGATGTTGTGGCTTTTGTTTTGCCCTTCAGGGCCCAAAACAAGCTCAAGGAGAGCAGGAAACGCACACGCATGTTTAAGAGAGAGAAGAAGAAAAGCTAAATCTTCATTACCGTTTCAGAACAAGAGCAGCAAACACAAAGCAATTACTCCACTCATCAACCGCTATCATGTTCTCGTTGATGTTAAAAAAGAGCAAAGTTAATATTTCCCTCTAAATCTGTCACTATAGATTTGACATTTCTGAGTACAATGCGTGAGCCGAAACATTATAACCATCTAATTCCAGATCTGACTAAGTCTTTTAGCCCCCTAGAGAACATCTAAGAATCTTTCTGAGCAGTTTTTTACAGGATGTTTAAATGAGTGGTCATAATGTTTTGGCTGATCTGTGCATGAGGATGGCTGAGAGGAAGGTGATGCTTATGGTCCGGCCAGTGGGTCCAACCCGGTGATTAGACAGAAGACAGACGCCCTTCCCTCAGCCTGTGGCGGAGACACACCCTAGCAGCAGCATCTCAAGAACACTCGGCTCCATGGAGGATTCTTCTGTTATCGAGGACTTTCTCAGCTGCTTGGAGGTTATTTAGACTCAAATAAAAGAAATCGAGCAAGATAAAGATGTGGAGGAGGGTCAGCGGTGAGGACAAGAAGCTCAGAATGCATTAAGTTTTGTTTTTCCTCTGGGGAAATTTAAAGATTCCCTTTGTTTTCCGGTCACCGCTCTTTGCACAAATAAGCTTTTCAGACCAGAAGGTGGAACACTTGTTCTCATTCCACCATCTGGGTTTCTGCTGCCTGGACTCCAGCAGCACATCTGAGCCTCACGCGTCGCTCAGTAAACTCACAGGATGTTTGGGGTCAACGTGGCGCTCCGAAAACCAGTTGCAAATATTTAACTCAGTGATAAATACTTTCCCGGTGTCTCCTTTTCTGCCTCTTGTGCATGCAACGTTTGCACGAGTTTATAGGGAAGACTCTGCAGGTGCCGCTACAGGTGTGGTAAAATCATTCTGTTATGCTCACACACACATTCTGAATGAAACATTGTGATGACACATCAAACACTGAGGAGCATTCTAGGACATCAGACAGACAAGATTCACAGGATTCTGCTGGTTGGTGAGCGTGTTGGTGTGCATGCTGTGGGTTTTTATCCACAAAATAAAACAATCATTCAAACTTTGAACCCCTCAACAAACAGCATGCCTTTATCTCCTTTTTTGAATGAATCCTCCCTCTCACATCCTTCATTCATGTCCTCCTCTGCTCCGTGTTGGACTGTGCACGCAAAGCCACAGAAAATATGCGATATCTAACCACAGTTGCATGTGCAAGGCCACTCGCTTGTCTTACTGACACTCATCACGCTGTGTCCTCCTTTATCTCATCGTCTCCACCTTCATATCTCCTCAGACGCAACAGGATATCTGAAGACCTTCAGAAAGTTCTAGCAGTCTTTACAATACATTAGCCTTGTGGCTTAAAAGCTAAAGAAAAAGCAGTCAATTAGCAGCTTTGTTTGGCTGAAGTCCAAGATTTAATGTGTGGCACTAAAAGAAAAGTGTCTCCTCTGTGGGTTAAGTATTTTATAAGTGTCCTACTAAAGACTCAGTCAGGCCATAAAAAGCCAAAGAAAGGTCCGGGGACGAGACGTGTGTTAGAGAGGGCAGACGTGTTTTATCCTTCTGTTCATGGGGCGAAGTAAAGATTTGTGCTGGCAGTTTAACAGTAGAGCTAATTGATACAAGAAGTGTTATCTGCACACAGGATGAGGGAGTGTGTGCATGCTGTGCTCTGGTGAGAGCCCTGTTGGAGCATTCCAGTCATCACAAACCAGCTTTGTAGCAAACAGTGACTTGCACTACCTGAGAGACGAGTCGTTTCTCAATCTGGTTGGTTTTCTTGACACAATGGAGTTTTTTGGCTTTGTGCAGTTTTTTTTTTTTTTTTTTTTTGCAAAACTGATGAAAATACATGACATCTAGGCAGATGCAATGCATTGTTGTATAAATGTAGCCTTTCATGTGTTTGTGCGTGCATTTAAGGAATTTTAACTATAAAGTCCAGCAGCTCTGTCATCATGCTGAACACACACACACATCTGTTGCCAATGTGTGTGAGCTCTCAGTGTCCAGCACACATATTTGTATGCATGGATTTTGTTTTATCTGGATGTGTGGAATGCAGCAAATCTGAAACCTCGAATGAAGCCTGCGTTGCATCCAGTTCGTGCAGTTGGTCACTCTGGGGTTGGGGAAGGTTTAAGGAGACACTTTGTGCATGCAGTCTGGTCTGATTGGAGTTTCTCAAGGCGCCAACGATGTCCCAACCTGAGAGCAAGAGCAAAGTTTCATAACTGTTGGATTTCATCCTCTCCGGAGGATGCCAGCGTCTGAGAGGCGGCGAGGGGGGTGAGATTGCACATGTGGACAAACAGGCAGGAAACGGTTGGCCTTCAGATTTACTGTAAACATACCTGGGTTCAAACTGTCAGATAACACGTCTTTCAAATTTAAATGAATGCCCTTGTTTTGCAGAATAACTGGCAGCTGATTTCTAAGGTTTTAGACAATTGATTCCTAACGCTGGGGCCTGCAGCTCCACCCAGCAACAATGAAAGCAGCAGGTTTCGTTGATCCAGTTTGAGCGTGGCTGCAGGTGAACTGGTTTGTGTTAGATGTTGTTTTGTTTCGAGCGTTTTGTCGAGATGTCTCCCTTCTAAGCAAAAGTCTGTCGGATGTTTGTGACAGCAACGCGCAGGACCATAATCTGCTCACTTTGCATTAAATGAAATCTTTGTACAAAAGCCACAAATGATCTTTTTAAGAATCAGACATTTAAAAATGACATCTAATTCAGGATTTGTTTTGTTTGTGTCACAGCTAGAAAGAGGTTTTGTTGGGGAAAGAAAAGACTTTTATATTCCAGTTTCTTTCTGGATTTCTTTAGGATGAAGAAGAAACATCTTAAAGTGTAAGTGAGTTCATCCTTCTGTAGGTCAGTCTTCATCGCTACTAGAGCACATGCAGCTGCTGTTTCTGTGAAATTTGAGAGCCTGTGAGTGAACTGGCATCTGCTGTGTTGCACTGTGGGTAAATGTGGATTTTACCGTGAATAGAGAAATAAAAGAGGTGAGACTTTTGGTTATGCTCTAAATTAACTTTAGAGCTATAATATTTATTTAAACACAAGTAATATTTAATTTGGAAAAGTTTATACAAAAATCTTCATGGGCAGTTTCACAAGTCCCACTTTTTCATTGTTAATGTTTTTTACTACAATACAGCTTGCAGCTATTGTATTTAGCTGTGTTTATTTACAGTGTATTTTTTTTCTTTACAGCAGAATTCAAATCCATCTCTTCCTGAGCCGCAGCATTTGACCTCCAACACCGCCCAAACACAATGAGAATGTTGTCTCAGCTTTGTTTTTCCTCAGCGAGCAGGAAAGGTCTCGCTCCATCCACCTGTGGCGGTCTTTCAGACCACAGTAACATATAGAAGAGCATTAGATCATGTTCCAGCCCTCCTTCAGCTATCCTGCTGTGCAGTCACACACACACACACACACATGTATATGCACACACACACACACGCACAGCCTCTGTTTCAGAGCTGAGACCCGATTAAAGAAAACGAAGCTCTACAGAACACCTCAGGGACAACCCGCTGTTGGACATGATGAGAAGCTGAACTTGTTTTTTGTCTCACATGTTAAAAATACGAGGAGCTCTGAAGGGTTTTAGTTTACCCACCCTAACCCCACAAACGATCGTGAAATGAGGGAAAGTTTAAATCGTGTCAATAAAAATAGGCCTTGAGACCTAAAAACAAGCCTTTTTCAAGCAAAAGTTCATTAAATTTATCACAGGAACGCAATTGTAATGCTGTAATACAGGGGTGTCAAAATGCGGCCCACGGGACGGATCCGGCCCGCAAGCGGGTTCAATCCGGCCCACGAGATGGTTGTGTAAACTTTATTTGCATACTTTACAATGTAGAGTGAAAATAAACTCATCAGTGTGAGCAAGTTTCCTCTGCAATGAGTATAAATAAAACAAAGCTGCGCTCAAGGCTCACACAAGAACTTGAATCACATCCTGAAGTTGGCCGCCACTCAGGATGTGACTTCTGATATTGATGTGCTGGTGAAAGCTAAAAGATGTTAAGTAAAATGAGTCAAATATATTTTAAGTGCTGCATGAAATTGATCCTGCCATGTGATCTGTAAGCTCTTTGAATCACTGAGGATTGTTTTTTTTATTTGTTGATTTTTATATATATATATATTTTTTTTTTTCAAATTTTCAAGTACACTTCAGGTGTTGTACTTGTACTATTTTGGATACACTGTCCTCAGGCTCCAGCCTTGTTTTATATTGATTGTATTAAAACAAAGAAAACAATCTGAAGTTTTTTTTAATTTACCGGTCCAGCCCACTTGGGACTAGATTTCCCTCAATGTGGCCCCTGAGCTAAAATGAGTTTGACACCCCTGCTGTAATAGTTCTACTTTACTTTGCATACTTTACAATGTAGAGTGAAAATAAACTCATCAGTGTGAGCAAGTTTCCTCTGTAATGAGTATAAATAAAACAAAGCTGCGCTCAAGGCTCACACAAGAACTTGAATCACATCCTGACTTCTAGGGTTATTGGATACACAAGAACATGTTATCCACCAAAACTCGGATTTTAATCAGAAGGATATGAAACTAAAACATTCCACTGATTTGATTCCTCACACCACCTAATTATCAGATTATTAATCTTCCAAACCTCTGAGAAATGCAGATGGATCCAAAGACATAACAAAACACAAAAGGTACTTCAGTAAGATGTTAAAACTAAGCAGACATCAGAGGAAAATAAACACAACCACCATGCAGGGAGCAGGAATTTGGCTAAATGACGTTTCACAGTGAGGGGGTGACGCTGAGGATCAGTGGGGAGTGTGTGTGTGTGTGTGTGTGTGTGTGTGTGTGTGTGTGTGTGTGTGTGTGTGTGTGTGTGTGTGTGTGTGTGTGTGTGTGTGTGTGTGTGTGTGTGTGTGTGTGTGTGTGTGTGTGTGTGTGTGTGTGTGTGTGTCCTTCATACACCCTGACTTCAGTGGGACTCTGCCCCTGCAATCACAAACTCCTGCTTTTGGCCTCTGAGGCATCTGCAGACGTTCTGAGGCTCTAGCTGGTGTTTTTCTCTGCCTGTGATCGCTGTCATGTTGATTCATGTGGACTCTTCTACATCTGGTGGAATATTTGGAGATGAGGAGTGGTCATCCAGCGCAAGAGGAGGCCCGGTTGGTTCTCCTGACACTTTCTCACGTTCAGATCTGGTCCTCTGAGGCCCTGACTTCTGTTTATTCAAATTCAAATTCAAAAATACTTTATTAATCCCAGAGGGAAATTGATCTTACTGATCCATCTGCAGCCAGATTGAAGCTGAAGTCACATATAGACTCAGAAACTCTAGTTTTTAGCATTTAAAAAAATGCTCAGTAAATTGTGACACATTCAACAATGAATATGAAGATGTGGACATTATGAATGAATATGAAGATTTTTTAGAGGATAGTTGTGTGGTTGCAAGTTTTTAATGACGATGCAGGGCCCCCTAGTGGAAAAGGGGTGAAATTAAGAAAAGAAGATCTACTCACTTTTATTTGTGGCATTATTTTACATTATTTTAGCCTTTGAGAGAATGTTACAGGCTTTAAAAAGGCTAAAACAATTTTCTGATAGTTTTAACACTTATTTTAATAGATTTTTACATACATTTTGCACTGTGTGTCTGTAATGTGTTAAACCATGCTTGGAATAAACCAGCATATTTTAGTGGATATAAATAAGCTGGTTGTGTTTTATCAGTGGCATGGCCCACGCATCACTCCTGACTATTAATGATGAACCATGTGGAGTCTGAGGGAGGAAAGAACCTGCTGTAAAACAGGAAGTGTTTTCAGAGGGAACAGGAACTCAGAGTGAGTAATTGATGTGAGTAAATGAAGTTAGAGGTCCTTACTTTTGTCTCATTTGAGTAAAATCTATTTTCTGTGGTGCATCATCCAGATGACAGCAACTGTGTGAGTGTGGTAGAGGTCAAACCGTAGTTATGAGGTCAAACTTCAGCCTACTTTTGATAAGACAGAAAATATGTTAACTTTATAATAAATGTTTTACCTCCCTTAACTAGTTGAAAACCGTTTGTAAATTCTCTCTGCATGTCATCAGGTAAACTATCTTCCCTTGAACCAAAGATTGGAAACGCCCTCGTTCCATCATTGCCGTTTATTTCAGATGATGACCAAATACTTCATTCTCATGTACGCACGTTTTCTTCACTTCTTGAACTTACATCTTTGAAATTGTTCGCTGAAGTTTTACCAGAATTATCAGATGTTTCAACATTTAAAAATAAATAAAACAAATTACTGTGAACGTTTGCAGAAAACTGCAGCAAAGAATCCTGTTTGATTATCGTAGATTAAGAAACCATAACCACTCTAAGTTTTATTAATATGGGGAAAACGGGTGAAACTAGGACAAATAGAATGTGGTTCAAAAGTTCATTCATGTCCAACATTCAGCTCAAAAGGTTAAACTAATATATTGATACGTTATAAATTTGTTTTAATACTGTTATAATAGTGACGATTATGATTTACAGCTTATGAAAACCCCACATTCAAGATCTCAATTAGAAAACACCTGCAAACGGTTCCTGAGCCGTTAGATGGTTTCTCAGTCTAAACTTGTACTGGCATAAATGGACTTTTGCACCATATTCTAATTTCTCAGGTTTCACCTGTAGCTGTATTTAAACATTTCATACGATCAAAAAGAAAGCCAACAGCAAGTATTAGACTGATAGACATTCAAATGACAATTTCTTCATTAGTGGCCCTGGTGAGAAACTACACATTTCTTTAGATCTTCTGCTGATTGTATTGAAGTCAAAAGGTCAACCTGACCTCTGAAAAGTAAATAAAACAGTTTGACTTTCTTGCTGAACTTCAAAGTGTAGAAGACAAGTCACACACTGAGCTGATTTCAGACAAGCTTTCATTATGGATCAAAGCCTCTTTCTGATTTTATGTCACTAAATATCCAGTAAGCAGAATTTATGCATTTGCCTTTGAAATGAAAAGCATCACAAAGTATCAGTTTGGATCATTTTTGCACTCTGTAAAAACATTTTCATGAGCAGCACTGAAACAAATTATGAAAAATCATTTATTAGAATTTCCCCTTGTGCATTTTACAAGACAGACTGTCCAACTGAAGAGTAATCACCAACACAGTCTGCACAAAACTAAAAACACAGCATAAATATTTCTAAATCTGTGTGATGCACTTGCAAGCACTGATAAGCAACAAACGTTTGATGGAAGGAAAAAAAACAGCCTAAAATGTAGGAATATTACCTCAGCAGGAAAAGTGGGATGCTCTAACGAGCAGAAACTTTCTACCAAGCTTCTGACGAGCTGAGGCCAGGTCCTAAATGCTTAATCTAGCATTCAAGGCTCGAAACGGACACAAAAAAGGGTTACATATGGTTATTCTACAAAAAATGTACAGGACAGAAGATCACTACATCACAAGGCTAACAAAGAAAGCACTTCAAATGTATTTAAGATCTGCAGTAAAACAAATTTGTTAAAAAAAAAATTACAAAAACAGTTTATCCCATCAGTGACGAAATGACCAGCGGAAATAGTTCTGACATCACAGATCAATAGCGCCGGCCGAAAGCCCCCCCCTGCAGCGCGCTGCCCTGCATCAGCTGGTTCTGTCTGTTCAGAGCTCCAGAGAGAGACTGAGATGTTCCCGTGTTCACAAAGCCTCCACGGCTGCAGGGAGAAGAAGAAACAATCAGATGGCAGCTCTCCATTGACTGTGTTCGGAGAGATCAAACCCACTCACCCGACCATTCCTCCGCGGGGTACGTGGCTCTGACTTGAAACGCCTCCGTCTCTACCTAGGATTGTAAAACCACACATCAGATCTTCTAAGACATGTTAAAACATTTCATATCAGTATTTATGTTCTTTTACTTATGCTCACCTTGCCACGGCCGGTCTCCGTCCACCTTACGACCAGAGTCCCAGTCACGGCCCCCCTCCCTTTAAAAACAGGAAAATAAATCCTAGCTTACATTCCTGTTCAGGAAGCGTCACACCAGGTTTGGATGAGCTTCAAAAGAAGCTGGTTTCAGATCAGCGAGAAGCTCACCTGGGATTCAAGCGCTTATCGTAGCCCCCCCCCCAGGAGTCTCTTCCATCTCTGCCGTGTCTGTCTGAGAAATGCTGAGGGAGAAGACAATCAGCTGAAATGATTTTACTCTTCCAGTACAGGGAGTGCAGATTTATTAGGCAAATGAGTATTTTGTCCACATCATCCTCTTCATGCATGTTGTCTTACTGCAAGCTGTATAGGCTCGAAAGCCTACTACCTATTAAGCATGTTAGGTGATGTGCATCTCTGTAATGAGAAGGGGTGTGGTCTAATGCCTATATCAGGTGTGCATAATTATTAGGCAACTTTCTTTCCTTTGGCAAAATGGGTCAAAAGAAGGACTTGACAGGCTCAGAAAAGTCAGAAATAGTGAGATATCTTGCAGAGGGATGCAGCAGTCTTAAAATTGCAAAGCTTCTGAAGCGTGATCATCAAACAATCAAGCGTTTCATTCAAAATAGTCAACAGGGTCGCAAGAAGCGTGTGGACAAACCAAGGTGCAAAATAACTGCCCATGAACTGAGAAAAGTCAAGCGTGCAGCTGCCAAGATGCCACTTGCCGCCAGTTTGGCCATATTTCAGAGCTGCAACATCACTGGAGTGCCCAAAAGCACAAGGTGTGCAATACTCAGAGACATGGCCAAGGTAAGAAAGGCTGAAAGACGACCACCACTGAACAAGACACACAAGCTGAAACGTCAAGACTGGGCCAAGAAATATCTCAAGACTGATTTTTCTAAGGTTTTATGGACTGATGAAATGAGAGTGAGTCTTGATGGGCCAGATGGATGGGCCCATGGCTGGATTGGTAAAGGGCAGAGAGCTCCAGTCCGACTCAGACGCCAGCAAGGTGGAGGTGGAGTACTGGTTTGGGCTGGTATCATCAAAGATGAGGCTTGTGGGGCCTTTTTGGGTTGAGGATGGAGTCAAGCTCAACTCCCAGTCCTACTGCCAGTTTCTGGAAGACACCTTCTTCAAGCAGTGGTACAGGAAGAAGTCTGCATCCTTCAAGAAAAACATGATTTTCATGCAGGACAATGCTCCATCACACGCATCCAAGTACTCCACAGCGTGGCTGGCAAGAAAGGGTATAAAAGAAGAAAAACTAATGACATGGCCTCCTTGTTCACCTGATCTGATCCCCATTGAGAACATGTGGTCCATCATCAAATGTGAGATTTACAAGGAGGGAAAACGGTACACCTCTCTGAACAGTGTCTGGGAGGCTGTGGTGGTTGCTGCTGCACGCAATGTTGATGGTGAACCGATCAAAACACTGACAGAATCCATGGATGGCAGGCTTTTGAGTGTCCTTGCAAAGAAAGGTGGCTATATTGGTCGCTGATTTGTTTTTGAATGTCAGAAATGTATATTTGGGAATGTGGAGATGTTATATTGGTTTCACTGGTAAAAATAAATAATTGAAATGGGTATATATTTGTTTTTTGTTAAGTTGCCTAATAATTATGCACAGTAATAGTCACCTGCACACACAGATATCCCCCTAAAATAGCTAAAACTAAAAACAAACTAAAAACTACTTCCAAAAACATTCAGCTTTGATATTAATGAGTTGTTTGGGTTCATTGAGAACATGGTTGTTGTTCAATAATAAACTTATTCCTCAAAAATACAACTTGCCTAAAAATTCTGCACTCCCTGTACATTCATGCAGCAGCTGCTCAACTCTTACCTGTCCATCTCTGTCAGCACCCATACCACGGGCACTGTCTCGCCGGTCCATCCCCCCGTCGTCCTGAAAACGACCCCGATCACCTCTGTGATCAAAGTCCTGATAGCGATCCTGACGACTGAAATCTGAGCGGCCGTAGCGGTCATCCATACTCATGCGCTTATCGGGCCAATCATCTTTCCTGCAATAAAACAAGGCGTGTGATGGAGGTTCTGTCAGCTGGTGAATGATTTTATTTACCCGGACCCTTTGGCTGTGTTTTCTGTACCTTCCATCCATGTCAAAAGGCCTCTTCACTCCGCGTCTATCCTGATCATAGCGCAACTGTTCCTGCTGCCTCCTCAGCTCTTCACGCTCTCTGAGGATGCGCTCCTGCTCGCGGCGTCTCTCGTACTCGATACGCATCCTCTCACGCTCCAGGAACTGGCGCTCCATGCGGTCCGCCTCAAGGCGCTGCTTCTCCACCTGGCAACAAACAGCATGAGTATATATCAGGAAACACATGACGAGCACAATGGGATCATCTGAAAATTATAATTCTTACATGACAACAAGCACTTTAAAGCGTTCTGTGTTGCAGAACTTCAACGACAGAAATGACCGACTAAGGCCTAGTCCACACGTAGCCGGGGTTTTTTAAAAACGAATATCCGCCCCTCCAAAAACTTGCATCCACACCACCGCGTTTTAAAGAAAAACTCTGTTCACACGTACCCGGATAAATATGTTGTTAAGGACATGCCAGACCTGTAGGCGGCAGTACTTCCCCCGTTCTTAACCTCGTCCTTCATCTGTGGTCTTCCGCAAGGAGCAGTAATTCCGCTTGCAAAAACAAACAAGCAAAAAGCGCTTGGACAGTTGATGGATCGGGTAGTGACAGAGCGCAGCACTGAGGGCTTCCATGATGCCGGCTAGTGTAAACACAGGTCGCACACGTGATGTCAGCATTTTTTGTCGCGGAAAGTGACGTTGCGGACCTTAAAACTCCGGTTTTGTCTGTCCACACGCAGAAACCCAAAACGGAGAAAACGCAGATCTTCACTTTGGCCGGAGTTTTTAAAAAGATCCGTTTTCGTGTGAAAAAACTCTGTTTTCGTGTGGATGACAGGCCAAAACGTAGGAAAATATCTACGTTTTGGCAGATCCCCGGCTACGTGTGGACAGGGCCTAAAACCAAGTCACATGACTTTACCTCCAACCAGTGTCTTTTAGTCAGCAGATGCTTCTGTTCTTCCTTTTCCCGGAACAGACGGATTCTCTCCCGCTCTGAACGGGGATCACGACGGCGGTCCCTGAATGGAAAATTGAAGATTACTCTCTAATGGGTAACAACTACAGACATAATACTAATGACAGGATTAAGAAGACAGATGCACGTGTCTCCAGGTGTAACTCTTACATATATCTGCGTCTCTCCACCTCCCTCATCTCCCGCTCTCGCTGCCTCTGTCTCTCCCTCTCCCTCTGCTCCTTGATCTGGTCAAACGTCAGGATGCCTTTTCTCTCTTTGCTAGATGATGTGCGATCTCGACTCTTTGTGCTCTGAATGAGGAAAAAATAAATAACCAGTCTCTTTAGAATTCACAGCTGGAATAATTCATGACGTCTGTCAAAGCAGCCCGTTTCCTTACCCTGTCCCTGCTCTTGCTCTTGGTTTTGACGCTGATGACAGGCTCCCCCTTGGACTTGTCCATAACTACAGTCCTCTCATTTTGCTCTGTCAAACAGGAACAACAATAAAAGAATGTTTTAAAGTTGTTTTACTTAATTCTGAGTGGAGTTGATAGTAAACTAGATCAAAATTCACCTTTATCATCTTTTCCTTCTCCATCGGTCTTGTCTTTTGCCTGAGACCTGCAGAAATTTAACAAAAAATTAGAAACTCAATAATAAAAAACTAAATTTAAGAAGTTGTTTGCTTTTCTTATATTGGCAGTTTCCCCAATTTAACCTTTATTTTTTATATTTAACTAAAACTTGCATCTCATGCTAAAGATTTAGATACGGTCGTACTTTGAGTCAGAAGAGTGTCTCCTCTCGCTCCCAGACTTCTTGTCTGCTGGCTTCTTCCCTGCAGGCTCGTTTTTAGCCTAAAAATATTAAACAAGACCAAATTTACTCCAAAGAACTAGATGAGCTCATCATTTCTAAAAATTAAAAGATCTAAAGAGATACAGGTGAACTCACCTGATCCACAGAGATCATCCTGCCATGCAGCTCGGTCCTGTGGAGGTGACTGATACAGTTGGTGGCCTCCTCTGAAGTCGACATGGTGACCAAGCCAAAGCAGCGAGCTCCAGGACTCTTGGCATTGGTCACCACCTTAGCTCCAACAACCTGCAGGAAGCACATATTTGTAAAAGTTGTGTTGAAAAAAGAAAAGCAGTGTAAATGAAATGTTTTGAACCCACTCTGCCATATTTGCTGAAGAGAGCCTTCAGATCAGTCGCTCTGGTGGTTGTGGACAGACCACTGACCCACAGATTCTTGCTGCCCGCTGCAGCACCACTTCCTGCGGCTTCACACAAGAAAACAAATGAATGATTATAAAACCATTAAAAGCAGAGATAACATGCACCGGATCAACAGGTCACCCACCCTTTTCATCTTTTGACTCACTCGTGGCGTCTTTCTCCTCAGAGCTAGAGACAAAGGGAGAAAAGTCATATGTAAATGCACAACAACAAAAGCACCTGTGGATTCCTAAAATTGATGTTTGTTTTTATTTTGGTGCTAATATTTAGATCCAGTGACCAACCCCTTGTATTCCACAGTGGAGCGAATTTATGGAGACTAGATGAAAACCTACCTCTCCGAACCCACAAACTTTTACACTTATTGGATAACAAAGTGGAACAATTGAGTGTAACAAATGACAAAAAGAGAACACGTATTCACAGAACAGTTTTACCTTCAAAGAGCATCCAAATTTTGCTAACACAGAGAGGGCCAATGCAACAGAGATAACCATTTTGGTTTCTAGTATACAGAAAGCAACAAACCTCTTTTTCTGATCATCGCCCTCTACAGTAGAGGACTCTTTCAGCGTAGAGGCTGAATCCGCAGCAGCGTTATCTTCTGTCTTCTCATCTTCCTCACCCTTCTTAGAGCCCTTTTCTGAATCAACAGTTTCACCCGTGTCACCCTGTTCGCTTACACTAACAGCCTGCGAGTTTTTGTTTTCAAAGTCTAATGTCTCTTCTGAAGCGCTCCGCCCGTCCCCGGCATCTGTCACGGTGGTGTCGGCCTCCACAACGCTCCTGTCGTGCTCCGTATCTTCGGACGCTGCGTTGTCAGACTTGGCACCGGTGATGGACACATGGTCTTCTTCTCCGGTGGTGGTGGCTTGCTCTTCTTCGGGGCCCGTCTCATGGCGATCTTCGTTAAGCGGCTCAGATAAACAAGACCCGGCTACTTTGTCATTTTCTACGGATTTAACAGGAATAGAATGGCACAGAGTTTAATCACTTCTGAAACACATCAATGGTTAACGTGGAACTGGAAAGGTCTGGATTAGGAACGTCATCATGACCTCTGGCCTGTGCTCTTATCACTATGCAACAAAAGGTTGACGTAGACCCTAACGAAGAGACTGGAAAAGAACCCAAAGGCTACAAGACAACCAAGCAACAAGAAGGTGGAGGAGTGGGGCCTTTGGTTCATTTAACAGGCGGAACCACTTCACTCTAATCACCTGATCCAAAACAAAAGAGCTCAGTGATGAAAAGTGCCACAAGCCCAGCCATGGAGACTCACTGATGTCCGTCTTCTTTCGGCCTTGCACATGTTCAGGGTCCATTTTTATAAACCACAACTTCAGCTGAGGTCCAAGTTTCATTTCCAGCGTCATGGCCTGCAACAAGTCTTGAGGGATCTTCTTTGTCCTAATCTTTACGCAGCAACCTAAAAACGCTACAGTCACCAGCAATGGCTCAATCGCCCCTGACCAATGAGGTGTAACTGCTGACAATGTGCATCAAACTGTTAACCGCAAGTATGCAAGCACACTGGAACCCAAAATTACCCAGCAAACACAAATATGTGGATTTTGTTTCTTTTTAAATGGTTAACACAATATCAACACAAAGCCAGCAATTCCCTTTGGGTTTCCAGTCTCTCCTTCTGGTTGTAATTATACTTAGAGCTTGCAATTCCAAGGTCAAGACTCTAAAAGTAATCTGATGAACCTTAGTTACCAGTACCTGCTTGTTCTTTTACATCATCAGCGTCCAGATCCTAAAAAGGATGTTAAGACAAAGGTTAAAAGCTGAAAAACAAGCTTCAATTGTTTATTTTCAAGTTAACAATTTAACATACCGCAGGTGCAGAAGGGTCTAGCAGAGCTTCATCTTCGTCGAGTGTCTCACATTGGTCCAGCTGTTAAAACACAAAACAAATCGCATAAAACATTTCAAACGAAGATTTCTGTGAACAACTTAAGTCAAATTCCTCACCTCCAGATCTGCGGTGTTGAGTTCCAAGGCTTCATCATCTCTGTCAAAGTTATCTTCATCCAAGTGATCGTCGGCTGGTATCCCGTTGTCGTTTTCCGTCTCATCCAGAACGTTCATGTCAAGGATGTCCATGTCCTGCATGTTCTCCTGATCATCCTGATGAGCAAACATATAAGAAGATGAACATCTGGAATAACAAGACTTCAACCTGCATCAAAAAGTGATTTTTTTTAAATCAGCAAACACACCTGTTCATCACGGGAATCCTCCATGACAGCATCTTCTGTTTCATCGTTCTCCGGCTTGGAATCTAAGGAAAACAAACTTCCCTTAAGCCTACTTTCGCTCCCTCCGGTTAAACCTACTATTTACTGTGTTAACTCCACCAAGAGTGAATTAAATATTAAATAAATAATAAAACAATGTTAATTTCAAATTCTATACAAGGTACAGCATTTGTAAACAGTCTCATTTCACTGCCCAGTTTGAAGTGTTGATGAGAGGAGTCTCTTTATTTCCGGCTGTTACGTAACATGGCTCCACGAGCTGGAATGACTGCGCGCGTGAGCTTCTTACCTTTGAATGCTCCTCGTTTGGGTGGAAGGGTCGCTCTTTTAGGGGTCGATTCTGGAACGACAACGATCTCATCTGGATTCCCACCCTCTTCTTCAATTGCCTATATAAAACAATGCAATAAAACGACACAATCACTGTAGCACAAGACACAAATGGTCTGACATGTAGCCGTTTGACGCAGGGGTCAGCAAACCCGCTAGCATAGCACTGAGAAGCTAACGGAACTAGCTTACGACTGGATGAAACTGCGTGTTCAAAGGGGCTCGAGAGTCCAAACTCCACTCGCTAACATGATTTATTGCTTTCTGTCAACAACAACGATCAGCTAGGCATTAAATAAAAGTGTAAATAAACCTTTTTTAGACGTTCCGACAGGACGCTCTTGACTCCAGTCGTGTCTAGATTTCGTTTCTTCAACTCGGCCTTCAGATCGATAACTCTCAGGTCCGACAGCTTGCGGGTTTCTGCGTCCTCGGGAAGCTCCACGTCTGCTGATGCGTTTGCCATCTTTTCGTCAAATCTCCAAACGTTCAGTGAATAGACGAAAGTATTTAATTAAAGCTGCACCACGAATGGAAGCAGCAAGCTTGCAGAAAGACTGCAAAATGGTGGACGGGGTGATGGGAAAGGTGACGCTACTGCGCATGCGCTGTTGAGCGTTGGTGCAGGTAAACATTTGCAAAAGGCAGTTTTAATCCAGATATGTCTACGATTTAAACTGCTCATCACTCTCAAACATATAGTTGTTTGCATTAATTTAATAACGTTAGCAATATTTGATACTATAAAAACATCAATTTTGGTCAAAATGACACGATTCCGTTCAGAATTAACGACGATTTTAAACACCCCTAAAGTAAGACACAAGCACAAAAAGCAGCAAAAACAAAGTCTATTTAACTTCAAAATGATTCTTTTAAGTTAAAAAAGCTGAACGCATTACAATACAAGTTTTTTTCTTCCTTATATGATCATGACATGATATAAATATGTTCATAAAACAAACCCTAAAATATAGGCAGATAAACTCCATACAATAACTTATAATCAGGTCAATCCTCTCTGAAGTTGATACTTTCATCTTTGGTTCTAAATGACTGCCAGTTTCGCACGGTGTCACTGTAAAGAACCATCAAATTGACACAGTAACCTTTCATGCACGCCAGAGCTCTCCTCCTTGAACCGTCACCTTAACGTGGTGGAGGAGTTTGAGTGCCCTAATGATCCTAGGAGCTATGTTGTCTGGGGCACTTTGTGCCCCTGGTAGGGTCTCCCATGACAAATTGGTCTTAGGTGAAGAGTGAGACAAAGAACGGTTCAGAGGATCTTTCACCGGGAGAAGTTTCTACATACTGCGAGGATGTCTAAGGAGGGCCTGAAAGAGAGAGCCCGGGGAGATGGGAGTGGTGTGATCCTGTTGTGTCTGTAGAAGGTTATTTTTTGTGCATGTCTGTAGTCAGGTCCTGAGTTTGGGTTACTTTGTTACTATGTCCATTGTCTTGTAATGTCAAGTGCTGGTTGGAACCCTCTTTGGAGAAAAGAAAAAAAGTAATAAATGAAGATGTCAAGAAAATCATCCGTGCTCTGCTGGCTGGTTTATGTAAGTCCCTGACAAGTATTGGCAGAGGTGGGATTTTGCTAGCCATGAGTACGTGTTGAATTAGTGAGACCCAGGGAAGAAACCATGCAGCGAGGCAGGGTCAGGCGACCTGTGGAGCCTTTGGAGCCAGCTGGACCGGAAAAGCAGTCGGATGGTTCTGAAGATGAGGGGGCTGCTGGCTCTGCAGTTGTGGAAGCGGAAGGATCCCGGGAGCCAACGTTAACAGATCTTGTTGGGATACTTCAGGCACACATGAGCCAACAGACGGCCCAGAATCACATGTTGATGGAAGAGGCACAACGTCAGGATCGGAGGTTCCAGGAGCTTCAGCAACAATTTCAGCATCTGCAAGAGGAGCTACAGCCACACCCTCTCAGGAAATCTGATTCTGGGGAGCTGGAACAAGGCGACGAGTAACAGGTGGTCGAGGGTCACAAGACCATCAGCTCTCCAGGTCAGTGTCGTTCCTTCTCAGAGCCTAGACTGGAAAAGTTAACAGACACTGATGACATTGAACATTTTCTGATCACTTTTGAGAGGATTGCTGCATCCTGTAATAGGCCGATGGCTGACTGGGTTTTCCACCTTGTACCACTACTCACTGGGAAAGCCAGGAGTGCCTATGTGCACATGGACATTGAGGAGGTACGTGACTATGAGTCTGTTAAGGGAGCTATTCTCAGGAAATATGATATCAACCCAGAGACTTATCGACAGAGATTCCGCTCGACAGAGGTTGAAGCAGGTGAGACTCCTAAAGAGCTATATGTCAGGCTAAAAGAGCTCTATGACAAATGGATCCACCACCAAGGTAAAACTGTTAAAGACATTGGCGAAATGATTGTTTTAGAGCAGTTTCTTCGTATGCTGTCCCCTGAGCTTCAGGTTTGGGTTCGGGAACATGACCCTCCATCTGCATCCAAGGCTGCTTCATTAGCAGAGGTGTTTGTCGCAGCAAGATGAAAAGGACAACCCTGGAGCTACACTGCTTGGAAGACTTTCAAAGAGAAGGATAATCGGAGGTCCCCATATGGACGTGCAGCCTGGGAAACTAAGCAAGTCCCGTCAACAGCGAAGGCGGGAGAAGTTTCTACATACTGCAAGGATGTCTAAGGAGGACCTGATAGATAGAGCCCGGGGAGATGGGAGTGGTGAGCACAATGGCTGTGCTGATTATGTTTTACAGGATGACATTTTGTATCTGCAACAAGGAGTACAGAGGCAGCTGGTGGTCCCACGAGAGGCACGAGAGATGGTGCTGGAGTTGGGTCATGCTATTCCTTGGGCTGGCTACCTGGGGAAGCAGAAGATATGGGCCCGTATTCAACGCCATTTCTACTGGCCTGGTCTGAGGTCCGATGTTGCCCAATTTTGTAAAACAAATCTCTTAAGTGCTGAAGGTTCTGGATGTGCCGTGAGCTGCGGTGAGCATTCACAGTTTTGTGACCAATACTATAATCTCATCTATGAAGGTCTAATAATATGACTGCTAATTATCTTTCCCGCTGGAGCGGGGGAGCTTCTTAAGGAGGGGGAACTGTGACAGCTGCCCTGCTGTCACACTTCAAGTAAATGACTGTTAATGTTTCTTTTATTTTGAACAAAGGTGTTTGTTTCCATGGATTGACTGTTTGGGTGACTGTATGAAGTGCACACATTCAGTTACTCATCAGTTTTAGTCTGTAGGGGTTTGTATGATTGTTTTCTTTGAGTTGTCAGTGGCCTTGGAGTTGGAGCAGCTGTAGCAGATCACTTGGCCTAATCAGCACCATTGGGTCATACCAACTCTCAAGGGAGAAGATTCCTGTGTTTGTGTATTTAGTTATTCTCTTTTGTAAATAGTAGTTGGGTTTTGATGGTAATATGTTTTGATGGTAATGTTTTCATTTGAAGTAACTCAAACAGAATGGACTGATTAGTATGAATTTGTTAGGGGTAGTTTATGTTCTTTGTTTACTGATGTCTCCCCACCCTATTGTGTTGGCAGTGGTCTGATCAGCCACTATTTAAGTTGATCCTGTTGTGTCTGTAGAAGGTTATTTTTTGTG